CTTTTTTAGACATGTTGTTCAAGTTCCCCTTAGTGGTTGAATCCCCTATTTTCTCTTGATTTAATTTTTACAAACAATTTCCTATGTATTTGGATTATTTATTTGGTGTTTTATTTTAAATTTTTAGACAATTACTTTATGGATATTATTTCTTGAATATTTAATTGAATGAATAGAATTCAAATTTTCCTTATACATGTGACCAATTCAATTAATTTGTTTCTAGGTATGCCTTATGGGGATATTAGTTGTTAGACAAATAGTGCAATCACGCACACCATCTAGCGTGAACACCACTATTTTACTAACTTCGTAGCTAAAAATTTACCGTTAACAACCATTTGAGGCCTATCCAACCTAATGAGAGGTATGGCACTGCGATTATAATGTTGTTCATGGTACTGAATTAACCATTAAAGAGGTCTTTTACTCATCCTATTTAGGAAGAACGTTGTTGAGCTTTAAGGATATTCGAGAGAATAACTATCATGTTGACACCACTGAAGAGAATGGTTTGGAATATCTTTGTATCACTTCATATGAATATGTCCATAAATGTATTCATTAGAAAATGGAATGCCTCCCGAATGGATTGTTTACTACAACCATATAAGCCATGGAGGCCCACCATGTGGCCTGCTAGGAGTTCGAGTTCCAGAGCAATTGATTACTTTGGAACAATTGTTAACTCAACCCTCAAATACAAAGATTACTCGTGACCCCCGAAGTTTCTTAAAAGGATTTAATGGGATACTTGTGGACCTATTTAACCACCATTCTGACTATTTAAATAGTTTATGGTGTTGGTTGATGCATCGACACGTTTGTCAAATGTTTTCCTACTGTTCACATGCAATGTTGTATTTGCAAAACTCCTATCATAAATTATTAAGTTTAGAGCTCACCACCTTGATTATCCGACTAGGTCGATTCGATTGGATAATGCTGGAGAGTTTACGTCGCAGACTTTCAACAATTATTACAAGTTAGTTGGGATTGAAGTTGAACATCATGTTCCCTATGTTCACACCCAAAATGGCCTAGCAGAAGCATTCATTAAGCATCTTTAATTGATCCTTCAGACCTTGGTCATGCGCACCAAGTTTCCAATCTCTACTTAGGGCCATGCAATTGTACATGCAACTTGGTCCGCTTGAAGTCCACCACCACCCAATCTTTTTCATCATTAAAATTGGTTACTGGTACAAGCCTAACTTCTTGCAATTACGCATGTTTAGGTGGCGCAATTTATGTGCCTATAGCACCGCCACTACGTACCAAAATGAATCCTCAAAGAAGAATGGGAATCTAATGTCGTTTAAGATTCACCATCAATTATTCGTTATTTAGAGCCCTTGACATGCGATCTCTTTAACACATGTTTTGTGGATTTTCACTTTGATGAGACAATCTTCATGTCGTTATAGGGGTGATAAGAACATTAACATTCTTGAAGAATGCCACGAATAGTTGGATTAGTCCCCCTATGTCTCATTTAGATCTCGCACTACACAATCTAAAACTGAAGTGCAACGTATTTTAGATCTACAAAGTGTTGCTCAAAGCATGGCGGTTGCTTTTACTAAACTAGCGAAAGCGACGAGATCACATATACCTACTACAAATGTGCTTGCTAGGATAAATGTACCTAACATATGTTGAAACATCACCCCCGAAGGACGAGCTACTTCTGAAGGATGTTTGGCCGCACATGCTGTTCGGCCCGGTACATTGGCGGCTAGCCAATCATCTACTCATATCATGAAGCGTGGCAGACCTGTTGGTCTAAATGATTCACAATCCCATAAGAAGAAGCCCACGAAACAAGCTAGTGAAACTAGTTTGAATCCGACCATCGCGTACTCAACAATTCCAATGCATGATGTTATTCTAGATTACGGAAGCATCCTTGATGTGATGAATCTGCTCCCAAGAATTGTGATAATTTCGTCTACTATACTAGTTTGGATGAGGTTTGGAATCAAAATGAGATTATAGTAAGCGATGCATTTGCATACATAGTAGCTACTGATATCATGATGAGAGATGATATTGAACCCGAGTTTCATTGATGAATGTGGACGTAGAACTGATTGGTCAAGCTGGAAACAAGAAATTCGGGTCAAACTTGATTCACTTGCAAAACGTATATTGTTTGGACTCGTAGTTCTTACACCTTTACATGTGAAGCCTATTGGCTACAAGTGAGTTTTCATTGGGAAACGTAATAAGAAGAATGAAATAATGTGATATAAGGCACGCCTTATGACGTTAGGCTTCTCTCAACGCTCTAGGATTGATTACGAAGACATTCCTACGTAATGAATGTTACAACGTTCCGCTAGCTCATCAGTTTAGTAGTTTTTGAAAAACTGAATATGCAGCTTATGGATGTGGTAACAGCATATCTCTATAGGGATCTTGATACAAAAATCTATATGAAAGTTCCTGAAGGACTTACATTGATTGGATCATACAGTGTTAAACCACAAAACTCCCTCTTGATTAGATTGAGGCATTCACTTTACAGATTGAAACAATCCAGGCATATATGGTATAACCGTCTGAGTGAGTATTTGATTAGTAAGGGATATGTGAATAATGAATTATGCCCATGCATGTTTATTAAGAAGTCACATTCCCGATTTGTGAAATTGTCATGGTTGGAGCTTGAGCGTTGTTCGGATGGTAGTCTGGTTCATCAATCGAACTACACCTAAAAGGTGTTTAGGATAAATCGAAACTTTTAAGACTCCTATGGTTGTTTGTACGCTAGATGCAAAACGAGATCATTTGTCTTAAAGATGATGAGAAATACATTTTGTAGCCTGAAGTTCCATACCTAAGTGCAATTGGTGCTTTATTGTACTTAGCTCAGTGCACTAGACTGGGCATCTCCTTCGATGTTAATCTTTTGGTAAGAGTGCCTACACGTAGACACTGGATTGTTGTTAAAGACATCTTTGTTACCTCAAAGGTACTACGGATTTGGACTTATTCTATCCCTATGCGTCCTCGATTGGAGTTGTTGCACCCTTTGGTTCTTGAGTTGATTCTCGCCTTGTTGGTTATGTTGATTCAAGTTGTTTATTTAACCCACACAAGGCACGCTCTCAAACGGTTTATGTCATTACCGTTGGAGGCACCTTAATATCTTAAAGGTTAACCAAGTAGACCTTAGTTGCGACTTCTTTGAACCATGCTAAATTCTTGCCCTACACAAAGCTACTCATGAATGCTTCTGCATGAGAGCTATTATTAAGTATATTCAAAGTACTAGCAAACTTTCTTCCGTCATTGACATCTCTATAACGATTTATGAAGAGAACGCCGCATGTATCGACCAGATCAAGAACAAATACATCAAAGGAAACAACAAATTGCACCAAAATTATTCTTTTCACATCAACAACAAAAGCATTAGATGATTGAAGTCGAGCAAATCTGTTCACAAGACAATCTTGTCGGCCTTCTCACGAAATCATTGCCAAAGTCTGTCTTCTAGAAGCATGCCAAAGGAATTGGTATGTGTAAATTATCTTATTTGGTTCTCATTTGGAAGTTTTGTCAAACTGAAAGGGAGTACCCAGTAGTAAGCTATCTTGACCTTGTATTCTTTTTCCTACGATAGGAGCTTTTTTCTCTTTGATATTTCACTACCTAACGAGGTTTTGATGAGGCACCTATCCCTGTGATAGTCATACCCTTGTGCGCGTTTTACTAGCATCCTGAAGGCGTTTAGTTTTTTACTTAATGCATCTTGTCACTTTTCTCCTTAGATTATGGGTTTTATCCTAGCCTAGGTTTTACCATAGCAAGGTTCGTTTGTTTTGAGATTAGCATTCACTCATTGTGCCGACAACTTCATCAACCACTTCTTCATCGCTGAAGATTTGATGCGACATTTGTTTGAATTTACACACTCAAGGGGGTGGGTTGCAATCTTAAATTAGTTAGGAATGTGATTGTATAAATCCTAGTAGATTATTGTAATTGTATTCCTTGGGGAGTAAGATTCTCTCTCCCTAAGCAGTAAGCACTATAAATAACGCACGAGAGGGTGAGAAATCACACCACAAAATCACCAAATTCTCTCTTCCTTCTCTTTATTGCTGCCGCACCCTATCTCTATAATTCCTCAGTAAAATAGGCCTACAACACGAACAAGTTTTTAAATTACAAAAAGTGAACAAAAACTAAAAATAAAATGGTTATCAAATGGCCTATAAGTTGTAGTTTGAGAATGGAGATTTTCTTTAATTTTGCTGTCAAAGTGAAACTTCACTCAAACTATAAGAGCCATGACTATAATTTGGACGGTTAAAAAAGCAAGCTATTATTAGCACTCCAATAAAGTCATTATGCACTACTTCCTATCGAGAAGTTAATGAAACGATAGAGTGTTGGACAAGAGTGATATTTTCTTTCATTACCTATGGAGGGCGAGGTTGGTTGGCAGCAGAATGAGAGAATATTTGCTATCTCAGCTAAAATGTGAACAATATATTCCAGCAAAGAATGATGATGCCAGATTGACTTGCGATGGGATTTTGAATCACAAAATCAAAACCCTAACTTACAATAATTAAAAACAGGGAAAAGCAAAGCAACCCCGCTGGGCTGGATGGATGGATCACAGTGACAAGGATCCTTGTCAGCAGCTCTGTCAGCTTGTGAAGACAATTAACCACAAAGAAAAAGGAGCACGACAACGACCAATATGGCACGAGTACAACACTATTAGTAGCACAGGTACATGGATATAGTAACATTTGTGCCTATGAAGGAAAGTCGTAAGTTTTGTCCACATAGATGTACCCTTGTCATGTAAATTGTTTACGACACTCTTGCAACCAATATCACCAGTGCGGTGGATGATTACCATATGTGCAAATAGTACACCACCATTAGTGTCTATTTTGTTGCTGAAAGCCAAAAGGCAAGCAACAAACTTGTAAGTTTTACAAATGCAACTGATTTAAAATAGAAAACTTGTTAAATAAACTTTATATCACACTTTGGCCAACTTTAATTTATTCGAAACAAAATCTGTCCGATACAACATTATACAAGAATTATGCACATCCCTGATCCCACCAGGCCAATTTTTTATGGGAGACAATGTCAGGCTCTTAAGCTAAAAGATTGTTACAAATTACACTTTGTTAGGACTACAACAAGCAAGCTGCCTTATACAGTCCTTGACCCGAAAAATGACGACACGCCTTCAATATAACCACATTTAGGAACGTAATTTTGGGACACAGCGAACCTAACCTAACACTAACACAGGTACAAATCTAACTCTTAATAAAATTTGGATGAATAAGCCCCCGTGTTCAGCTTCTACACATCCATTCTAAACAAACCTGTGAGATGGAAGTTCAGATCATATTGTTTCTGGAAGAACCGGGGTGTAGTCTGTATTCCCACGATCAATCCTAATTCTCTTCAAGAATCAGAAGGTTGACCTGTAAAATGATGTGCGCTGGATCTCCCTCCCCTTGAAAAATGCAACATAATATGTTTATAAGAAAGAGCAAACAATAAGTGTACTTGTAGTTGCAAATAGCAATCACATAAGGTATTCTTGTACGTTAACAGACATTAACAGACTGACTACAAAGAATTTCTAACAATTAACGGGTTGCCGTACTCACCCATTTGGTTTCTCTAAGACCCATCTATATCATATGGATCATATCGTTTTCCTGTTAGTGATGTGGTAAGATTCGTTAACAATAAAAAAAGGTCGTACCCAGTGCACAAGGCTCCCGCTTTACGCAGGGTCTGGGAGAGGTGAATGTCGGCTAGCCTTACCCCCATTTATGGAGAGGCTGCTCCCAATAAGATTCATTAACAATATAAGAGACAAATGTTGGTGGGTTTGATCAAGTAATCATCCCAGACAAGGTTTGACAATATAAGTCATTCAACACGTTGCCAAACTTTTCCATCCATTACAAACACGAAGACATAAAACAATGAGCATAAGAAAAGTAATAATATGATATCACTTATCAATAAACTTATCTACATGAGCAGAAACCGCATTTTGGAGCATCCCTTTATGGAAGCTTGGGCTCTATTTGCATTTGAAACCTTGTTTCTCTATCTCAAGGATGAAGAACCAAAAAAGAGAGATTACATTAATAGAACACGTTTCACTCACCAATTGTTTAAGCAGTTCCTGTTATCAACCTCTCCCGCTCATCAAACTTTTTCACCTTTATGAGGCCAATGAGAACCTGAAGACTGAAAAATGCGCAAAAGACATATGCTGCAATGGCAGGAACCTGAAAATAAATAAGTACCATCAGAATTGAGCTCTGAATAAAATCAGACAACAGGGAGTCCACACAACGCCATAGATACCAAAAGTAAACTTGATAGCTTACTCGAATGGAATTAATATACAAGATTGTTGCGAGATTTATTAGGCTTCCAGCAGCAACTGCCTGCAAGTTAGTCAAAGTAAAGATCAATCCAAGTAGACATCATGCCATTATAAGATTTAGCAGACAAGAGAGACGTTCAACTAGTTAAGCTGTAAATAATACATCAGTACAATATGATATTTTTCATATAAGCTTTAGCAGACAAGAGAGATACGGAACTGTGCACGTGCACCTAGTAAGATGACTCAGAAAAGTAATCGAAACCTCTTTTCTCTTTTTCCCAAACTGTCAATGTGGGTCTTCTGCCTTTTTATTTTTTTGTTCTGTAAGAACTTTTTTGAAAGTCATTCAATAATGTTACAGTGAAAACTGGTTCATTTGATATCCAGATATGTTACCCCCACTGTTGACGAGGAAGAGATAATGTCAGTGTCATACACGTATGAGAAAATGTGTATAAATCATTAAAATAAACTCCTTCCATGGTTGCAGACGTGAGTAGGATAGAGCCAAAGCTCAGCAAGGCTTTAACAAAGTATATTTTGTATATATCTAATGGAACCTAATAAAGAAAAGAAAATTCAAATCAGAGTTCTCTTGTCAGGATATGATACATCAAAACAAATTCCAACATAGATGTATGATGTATATGCCACTAGATCATGAGTAAGCTCAACTCACATTTCCTACAGTCTTTTGGACAGTTGCAACCCGCTGGAATGCCCTCTCAGATTCCAAAGTCCGAACTCTAAGCTTCAGATCACCTTGCTCCTATAAATAAACAAGGGACATCCACAACTGAGAAAATCATAACAAGATATTCAAAGTATTCATATTTAGCACACAAATAAAAAAATCAGTTGGTACCAATCTTTGGATAATTTCAGCAAGCTTTTCAACTCTGTCAGCCTGTCTAAATAAGTTATAGAATGCACGCGACTGCCTGTCCCACCTATTTCTTAGGTCCTGGAACATTTATAAGTTTAGTGTAAGAATAGCGTTTGTATTAGAAAGATTGTACAATATGAAATTTAATATAGATGGTCAAGAGTTTGCCTTTATAATGACTTCAACTCCAGCTTCACGAAATTTTAGCAATTCCAGTGCATAGCTACAAGGCAGAGTGTCCAAGCCTTGTCAGAAATAAAGGGAAGGAACAGTTACCAAATCTTTGAAGGTATTTATGGAACAACTTTGGGATGGTTTTAAAGCTAAACTAAACTCACGGTTTGGCTATCTCAGTAATGTCAAATCGAGGATCAAGACCCTTTCCAATGCCATCCAATACTGAAAAGACAGAAAACAAAGAAGTCCTTTTAGGACGATATAAACATATAAATATGGGGCACGTTTTTGCACAACTTTGACACGTTTTTGTGGGGCCACTTCTAATGTATTTTAGCAATCCGAATTATCTATCTTTTAGGTTCTCCGTCAAATATCATGTCTACTAAAAGATAGACAGTTCGGATTGTTAAATACATTACGGAGTAGGCCCCACAAAAACGTGTGTAAAAAAATTGTGTAAAAAGGGTGGTGCCACAGATCCGCCCCCTATAAATATATATCTCTGTGTGCAAGACTGTAAGTACATATAAACACATTACATAAACAAAGTAAAATGAAAACATATTTCCAACAAAAATATGTCCACCGTGTTTCTATTACGGTACCTGAAAATGCTCTGACAACAAATGTGAATGTCGCAGGAAATCTGAAGGGTTGGTCTGCTGCAATGGCTAATAAATCTTCCCCTGTTAAAAGAATGCAAGGTACTCAGTATCAAACATCAATGCTTAGTGGAAGAATGCAAGCCACTATTCACAACGAACAAATCCTGGAAATCCAGCTACTGGACAGAAACTTGGTACCCTTAATTACAGTTGGAGCCCAGACTCAAATTTTACATCATTTAAATTGGAAAATTTAGCATAATCAAACTTGGTGCATAAGCATGTTTAATTTAAAAGACCCCTAATTAGACATCAAATTTAAGTAGCTCAGGTGGCTGAGCTTAAACCAAAGACCCAAAAGAATAATTCCAAGTTTCATATCAGTAAGGTAGCCACAAGGAAAACCCCAAAATATTATTTAGACAATATAGAATACATGATAATAAGGAACATGTTTAACCAGATTAGAAAATATTTGACATATGATTACTGGACCTGGTGTTCATTGATTACTTGTTCAACTGTAAACCAAATTCAAGTACGAGAGTAACGCTACCTACTAACTTATACATCTCTGTGGACTGCGAAGTCTTTTAATTTTCAGTTAATCCTGTCTAAACTTGGCATGGCATAAACTGGCTCCAGTATGAATGTAGCAATGAAAAAGCTCACTGGTTCTTATTCACTAAATTAAACAAGAAGCTAGAGACTGTAAAGGAGTACAATTCATTTCCATTCTATCCCACAAAACATGGCTTTAAATTTACTAATTTAGCATCAAATTTTCACAGGACTTGACTTAAATTCTAATACCTGACATAGGTCTGGCTAACTAAGAAAGCTCAGCCTCCAACTCTTCCATTAAATATTGAGTTGTTAAGACCAAAACTATGTAGGGTATAGAACCCTAACATAGACACAAGATTTAAACAAGGTAAATTACCAATTGCAGCAAGCCTTTCTTTCTTTTTCATTATCTTTTCCTCCTTGCTCAATGGCTTTTTAAACCCAAGCTCTGCTGTCGCCAATTCTTTCTCCTTTCTCTGTGCAGCAAGTCGCTCTTCAAAACTGCAAAATTTGAGCATTAGAAAAGAACTCAAGATATAGAGTTTAAATTACGGAATTACTAATCAAAGTAAACACAGTATGTTTAGGTTAAGACCTTGCTTGCAAAAACAAGGAGAGCAGGCTGTCAGTCAATGTAAATTATACCCCAGCTCGTAAAACAATTGACAACTATACAAATAACTGCATTCAAACCATTATAAATACTTCCTTACATTCGAACTGGTATAAATAACTCCATTCGTAACCATAGCTGATATAGTGCCTTATCTAGCAAGTTACATATAGCAGACATGTGGATATAATTCTAATTTACTACGGAGGCATTATACCCCAAGTAGCTCTGAAATTCCTCAATAATAGTGAATTTAAATTTTGTACAGAAAAAGAAAGAACGACTCAACAAATTAATTAAGGAATGAACAATGGAATCATGCTAATTCTTCTCTATCAGAAGCACCTGTTAAGAAAAAATAGTGCTGTTCGTCTGACAGCTGTCATATCTCCAGTAGGCACAAGAACACCCATCTGAACCATTGCCTGAAGGACCTGCACCAGTTAAAATAGTTTCCGTCACTTGAAGATCATAACCAGACATTCGAACCATAGTATAATTAATGTAAGCCAACTGTAATTCTGATTGCCTGACCACCAAGGTATAATGAACCGTACTTAGTAAACCAAAATGCGGGGAAAAGATGAAAAAACCTTATCTGGATCCTTCTCATAAACTCCGTAAAAGGTTTCCAGCAAACCTTCTCTAATGTTTGGGCTGATACTGTAAGGTATAAATATTGAGATACATATTAAAATAAATTAAAACTTGGAGAGTGGTGGTTGGTAGATTGTAGATTAGCAAACACAATCAAGGATTTACCTTCCCATCATTCCAAAATCATAAAAAATCAACCTTCCACCATTGACATCATCCACAGCAATATTGCCAGGATGCTGCATTAAGAGTAAAAGAAAATTGTGGTTACACATTGGCAGCGGGTATTAAATGACAGGAATCCCGAAATGTGTAATCAAGAAACATGAAGACTACAGCTTTCTTATGTGCAAGTGCAACAGATATATTGATCCCTAAAACTTTGAAAGGGTAGAGCACATAAATCAGTAGAAGTCCCAATCTGACAGCCATGAGCGATTGCTTATGCATCTGAGCAGGACAATTTTCTTTCTGCAATTATGCAAATTTCTTGCCATCTGAAGCAATAGTTTCAAAAATTGCCTCTTAAACTACAGAATTTCACAGACATGACGTATAAGAGAACTAAAAAACAAGAGGCCATATTGTTAAATTTGATGACCATGAATGAGGAGTAGGTATTTTCTCATACCACACCCATACTTCTGAGGTTTTCCCAGTTTTCTATGTTTTGACATCCAAATCATGCTTTAGAACCAAAATTGAATTAAACAACAAAAACTCACAGGATCAGCATGAAAAAACCCATGAGACAGAATTTGTTCCAAGTACGATTCAACAGCATATCGACCCAGCCTGAGGAAATTCAAATTGATATTAGAAGCAACAGGAGAGATAAGAAGAGGTCACAAGTTAACAAGATTTTACCCAGAATATAAGAGACAGGAAACTGTACTGACCTTTGCCGATCAAGGCCCAATTGATCTATAGCTTGTATCTTGTTTATCTTGATCCCCGGGACATACTCCATTGTCAGAACCTGATAATTATATTATCGGTAGTTGGATTTAATAAGCATAATAACATCTAGAGGATCAAAAATCTTTAGCGGTGAAAGCTTAAAACCTGTGGTGTAGTGTATTCCCATATTATTGTTGGGACTTTGACATAATCCATGTTTTTGAAGTTACTGGCAAATAGCTCAGCGTTAGCAGCTTCCTTGGTATAATCAATCTCCTGGAAAACTTTATAATTATTAGCTATCATTTACTGAATAGGAACAAACACAATGTCTTTAAGAAGGCAGTTTTTAAGATTAAAATGTTTTGAAAATAAGTTATCAACAATTTACTAAACACAGAATTTTGTATTAGGGAGAATGATAAGTCATCCAATATAGTTACTGTTAAATAGTTGTTAAAGATAAATGTAATTGTTTTTGTTAGTAACTGTGATTAGTTTAGGTAGTTGAGGGTACTTTTGTAATTAGCCTAAGGCAGCTAAGGCTATATATATTGACACCTGTGTAACTGAATTATTCATTCAATACAATCAGGAAAACTTACTGTTGAAGTTTTCTGTTTCTATATGGTATCGAGCCATTCTGCTTTACAGCACCGACCTTCTCTTCCGCACGTCATCTCGATCGTGTCTTGATCGATTCTTGCTTTCTTCTCTCTGATTCTTCACTTTTTGTTCTCGATCTCTCTTGAATCTTGTTTTCTGCAAGCTATGGCTGCTCAATCTGCGTCGCAACCGACTGGATCGTCTTCTCCGGTCATCTCTCCTTCGGTTCAAAACCCTAATTCTCTTCCAATCCGAGTCCTCTGAATTCGTATACCTCTCTGACGATTCACAACATTGGCAGTATGGTGCCGATCAAGCTGAAAAGTTCCAACTATCTGCCATGGCGAGCACTGTTTGCTCCAATTTTCAGGCGATACAAGCTTCTTAGTATTATTGACGGCACTGAGGTTTGTCCTTCGCCATTCTTGCCTGATCGCTCGATGAACCCTGCCTTTGAGGATTGGTATGAAAAAGATCAAAATCTTTTGATTTGGCTTAATTCTACCCTGTCCGAAGAGATCATTCCGTTCACGGTTGGAGTTTCTTCTTCTCGTGAGCTCTGGGTAAAGCTTGAACAGCGTTTTGGTGGAGTTTCGGAAGCTCACATTCATCAATTAAGGTCCAGACTTCAATCGATTCAGAAAGGTTCTCAGTCCATTTCTGCGTATCTTCAACAAATCAAGGAAATTGCTGATTCCTTGCAAGCTGCTGGTGCTTCAGTGTCTGATCGTGACCTAATTGCTGCCACTCTACATGGATTACCTGATGAATTCGAGTCCTTTATTGACTCCATCATGCTGCGGCTCTCTTCTACATCCCTTGATGAACTCCATGGTCTCTTACTCACCAAAGAGTTGTCTATGACCCGTCGCAAGGCTGTTCTTTCATCCTCTGAGCCCTTTCAAGCATTCTCAGTGCAATCTCAGCCTCCCCTGCTTCCTACTCCATCTGCCTTTGCTGCTAAAAATCAATCATTTCATCCTGCTTCTCGATTTAACTCAAATCGTGGTAAGACATTTAGAGGTAATTTCTCCTCAAATCGCAGCAATCGCACCTTTCATAACAATAATAGGGGTAATTTCATCAACAATCGTGGCAATCGCAATTATCAAGGCTTTCACAATTATCAAGGTCCTTCCAATTTTAAAGTCACTTGTCAGATTTGTGGATCTACCAGTCATGAGGCACTTGATTGTTTTGATCGAATGAATCTGGATATCTGTGGTAGAATTCCTCCAGCCAAACTTGCTGCTATGTGTGTGCATCATTCAGCAAAACCCTCTCAGCCTTGGTTGATTGACTCTGGAGCTACTTCTCACATCACTAATGATGTAGCTAACATCTCTTCTCCTACTCCTTACACTGGAGAAGACAAAGTATACATTGGAGATGGTAAAGGACTATCTATTCATCATATTGGTTCTTCATCTCTGCACACTCCTTATACTTCCTTTAAGCTGAGAAATGTTTTACATGTCCTTTCATAAAACATAATCTCTTATCTGCTTATCAGTTTCTTAAGGATAATAACTGTTCATTGACTCTTGACCCTTATGGATCCACTGTCAAGGATCGCATTTCGGGGAAGATGCTTTTGCAAGGCCCTGTTAAGGATGGTTTCTATCCTCTTCACAGTTCCACCAGTTCTCCCACTTCACCTTCAGCTTTTCTCAGCATTCAAGCACCTGTCCCTGTATGGCACAAGCGCCTCGGCCATCCTTCCTCCTCAATTTTTAGAAGAGTTATATCCACTAATAATCTTCCACTGCAAGGCCAGAAGACTGTTGATTTTTTCTGCTCAGATTGTGCGCTTGCTAAAAATCACAAGCTTCCTTTTGCAGTGTCTTCTTCATCAACAACTCAGAGTCTCCAGCTTCTGCATTGTGATCTGTGGGGACCTACTGTTACATCTACTAGTGGCTTCAAGTATTACCTACTGTTTGTTGATGATTTTAGCAAATACAGTTGGTTTTTTCCATTGAAGTCTAAATCCGATGTATTTTCTACGTTTGTTACTTTCAAAACCTATGTAGAAAACTTCAGTGGAAATAAAATCAAGATTCTGCGTTCAGATTCAGGGGGTGAATTTACTAGTCATTCTCTTGCTTCATTTCTTCGTGCACATGGTATATTACATCAGTTCAGTTGTCCTCATACGCCTGAACAAAATGGCTGTGCAGAGAGAAAGCACAGACATCTTGTTGAGACAGCTCGCACATTACTTGTTGCTTCTCATGTTCCTCAGATTTTTTGGGTTGAAGCTTTCTCCACTGCAATTTACCTTATTAACAGACTTCCTATTTCTGGTCTTACAAAGTCACCTTGGGAACTTCTCTTCAATCAACCTCCAGATTACTCTAAACTGAAAGTCTTTGGTTGTCAATGTTATCCATGGCTTAAACCTTACACTCCCAGCAAATTGGATGCTAAGAGCAAAAGTTGTGTGTTTTTGGGCTATAGTCTTCAACATAAAGGCTATAGATGCCTTGATCCTCTCACCACTCGGATCTACATATCAAGACATGTTGTCTTTGATGAAACAACTTATCCCTTTAAATCACTGCCACTCAACAGTTTCACTTCAGAAACTTCATCTTCTGATTTTTCACCATCCTTGGATCTTCATTTCAGCAAACATGTCTCTCCTTCTCCTCCAGCCAATAACTCTTCAGAACCACAGTGTCCTTCTGTACCTCAACCTATTACTCAGATCCCATCTTCCACAGAGCCTTCTTCCTGTACTCAGTCCGTGGATCATTCTCTCAGTTCCTCCAGTTCTGTCTCTCTCAATGACTCCTCTCTTGCACCACTACAGTCAAGGCCACCACCTATTTCTCGGAATACACATCCTATGATTACCAGATCTAAGGCTGGTCTTCACATGTCTAGAGCTTATGCAGCAACCAAACACCCACTTCCGGTTGATCTTGATTTTGTTCCTAGTACTTACTTGCAAGCCTCAAAGCATTCTCACTGGAGAGCAGCAATGCAGGATGAATATAATGCCTTAATAAACACAGGCACTTGGTCTCTTGTTCCATCTCATCCATCTCAGAATGTTGTTGGTTGTAAATGGGTGTTTCGGATCAAGAAAAATCCTGATGGAACCATTGACAGATACAAAGCCCGCTTGGTGGCAAAGGGATTTCACCAGCAAGAAGGAGTTGATTTCCAAGAAACCTTCAGTCCTGTTGCTAAGCCCGTCACAATTCGAATTCTTCTTACACTTGCTGTCCAAGATAATTGGTTTTTAAACCAATTAGACATAAGCAATGCGTTTCTTCATGGTGATTTAAAGGAGGATGTTTATATGCAACAACCTCCTGGTTTTATTGCTCCTACCTCTCCACACTTTGTCTGCAAGTTGAAGAAATCCTTATATGGCCTCAAACAAGCCCCTCGAGCTTGGTTTGAAAAACTGTTTCAAGCTCTTCGAACACTTGGCTTTCATCAATCTCAATCTGATGCTTCTTTGTTTGTTCTTAATGGACCTCAGTTGGTCATTGTCCTCGTTTATGTGGATGACATCCTAGTCACCGGACCCAACTCTCAGCTTTGCCAACAGTTTATCCAACAGCTTAGTACTCAGTTTCCAGTGAAGGATCTTGGTCCTTTACACTATTTCTTGGGGTTGGAAGTCCACAGATCCACAAAAGGAATCTTTTTACATCAGACCAAGTACTTACTTGATCTTCTCAAGAAATCGAATATGGAGGGTGCAAAACCGTGTTGCACTCCTCTTGGCTCTCAAAAGCTGGATCATAGCGGACCTCTCTTATCCAATCCTACTGAATACCGCGCTATAGTTGGTGGTTTACAATATCTCACTTGGACTCGCCCAGATCTTGCATTTGCTGTTAATCAGATCTGCCAATTTATGCATGCTCCCAGAGAACAACACCTTCAAGCAGCCAAACGGGTTCTCAGGTTTCTTAAAGGATCCATCTCTCATGGTTTATGGTTCACCAAAGGTCCCATTAATCTTTCAGCATTCTCTGATGCTGACTGGGCTGGCTGCACATTTGATAGGCGGTCTACTAGTGGATATTGTGTATTTCTTGGTTCTAATCTCATCAGTTGGAGTGCAAAGAAACAAAGCACTGTTGCTCGTTCCTCTACCGAAGCTGAGTATCGTTCCTTAGCACATACTGCTGCAGAACTAACTTGGGTCTGCAAAATCCTCAAAGATCTTAAGTTCTCTCTACCTAAACTGCCTCATCTATGGTGTGATAATATTTCAGCAATCTCTTTGGCATCTAATCCTATTTTTCATGCTCGAACTAAGCATGTTGAGATTGATTACCACTACATCAGGGAGTTGGTTCTTGCCAAGCTTATCAAAGTCAGCTATGTTCGCAGTGATGACCAAGTGGCTGATCTTCACACCAAATCCTTGTCTAAAAGCAGATTCTCTTATTTGTGTTCCAAGCTTCCAATCGGAATCCTATCTGATTCCTCCTTTAGCTTGAGGGGGTGTATTAGGGAGAATGATAAGTCATCCAATATAGTTACTGTTAAATAGTTGTTAAAGATAAATGTAATTGTTTTTGTTAGTAACTGTGATTAGTTTAGGTAGTTGAGGGTACTTTTGTAATTAGCCTAAGGCAGCTAAGGCTATATATATTGACACCTGTGTAACTGAATTATTCATTCAATACAATCAGGAAAACTTACTGTTGAAGTTTTCTGTTTCTATATTTTGCACGTGACAAATGAGCATAAACTATCTGCTATTATTATCTTTACCATGTAATAGAAAGAAAAAAAAATCTATATTTAAAAAGTTTAAGAATGCTGTCAAGCTGTGAACAATAAAATTTGTTTCTTTTCAAGAACAAAAATTCAATATTCAATTGCCTTGCTTTGTCTTTGTTGGACTTTGAACCATCTATTATTGACCTCTTTTCCTGTATCTATATCACCTAAGTTCCCTCACGTGAGTTCATAATTATTACTCCATGTCTTCCTACACCTTTACTCATCCAAGTCAATATCCTTGCATTACACTCAACATGGATGACATCTTATTCCATGAAGAGTTCAACGTATTATGTAGAGGGAAACAGAAGCCACTGTGGAGAATGTGACCTTTACCTACACTAAACAAAACCAAAAAAAAACACAAGATTTATGTGCCTTTTGGCTCACTATTTAGTGCCAAAATGGTTAAAACAACGAAAGTGGATCTCAACACCTCATATAAAACATTTGCACACTCATCATAGATAGCAACCCAATCCCTCTTCGCACCATCTGACTTTGGGTCAATTTTTTGAAGATATTCTGCAATTACCTGGAAAAGAAAATGACAATATGACAATGTTCATCAGAATTCCCACTGCCTTCACAAGATCAAGAGGAACCTTCACGTGTATTTCATGTACAACATAGTAAAACAAGCACATAATACACAAGACACAACCAAACGGATAGAGAGAAAGTTATGAGATCTAATGATACAGTTGAATTCACATTCAACAAGAAAGGCATCAAGTGAACATGTACAAAAAATCCCAAAATTGATAGTCCTAATCTAGAACTGTAAGCCAATATGAGAAACTGACCCTCAGGTTCTTAAGATCAATATTGAAAAGATCCTTGAGTCCAGGCCTCTGTACTTTAACAACAACTTCCTGTCCCTTCAATCTTGCACGGTGAACCTGACCTGCATAAAGGATGATACCATATTCTTACATTTTGTCTCTTATAAAACTGGACTATAACTTTTAAAAATAAAAAATAAATAAATAAATAAAACAATTATGCTAGTTTCATTTTCTGATTTCTCGTTTTTTTGCACAAATTTTGCTATCAGAAACTGTACAAATGCAATCAGGAGTACCAAGACTAGCAGCAGCTATTGGTTCATAATCAAACCGATCAAAGATATCTCCCACCGGAGCACCAAGCTCTTCTTCAACAATAGAAACAGCTGTATCTGATGGGAAAGGAGGAACTTGATCCTGAAAATTAAACCGTGTTTCAGTTATGCCTTAGGAATTACCAATTAAAAATAGATAGGTAACTGATAGTTTTTTAGAAAGGATACGACAAACAAAATTTGGCACTACATTAAGTAGCGGATTGGATATAAACAGTGTAGTATGGAAAGTGGAAGAAAAGAAAACTAAAAGTCAAAGCTCACTAAGCTCACTAAGCTAGGTTTATAATTTTTTTTTCATTAATAAAAAACATATATTTCATGATGTTTTTGCATGTTTGGTGTGCTCAGAGCAAGTGTCTATAAATGACAGAGGCTTAAGCTAACTTACATGATTAAAAGAAAAAGCAAATCTTTCATCACTGTTTACATATTCAGCATGCTCAGAGACAACTGCTACCCTAACAGCATTGTATAGTACTAAAACATACAGCAATATTAGATTCCCGTACTAAAAAAATGCGGTTTTTTCAGTTGACAAGAAAATTTGAGTTATGAAGTAGAAGAAAATAAGAATGTATTTCTTCTTCTACCCTCTCAAAAACTCTATTTTTCTTTTCAATTTTTGATAAGTTAGAGAATAGATTAAAACATCTGGGAACAACAACCCAGACAATATAATAAGCATAGAGGATGTCATCTCACAAATCCCAGCCTCTTGCACAGCCAAATTTTAAACATGATAGCAAAAGAGTGAAAAAGATAAACAAAACAAAAACAGAAGACGCATCACAAGTCAAGGCTTCAAATTCCAACAAATAATTGTTGAACAGGAAAGAACTTGAAGAACTACAGATTTAGGAGTCTGATATAAGAACAGAAGCATACAGTAGGAATGTGCAATCTTGTTGACATTGAATTAAAGAATTTCCAACCTGAAGTTCTGACAATTGATCAACATATTCTTGGGCAAGAATGTCCACCCTTGTGGAGAACTGCTGGCCAATTTTAATGAATGTTGGACCTAATCTCAAAATGTTCTCCTTAAGCCACTTGGCAAGTGCCTTACGCCTCAAGGTTTTCTTCTCCTCTGTCATTCCCCCTGAACATTTGTTTCCTTTAAATTAGATATAAGCACCAAATAGTACAGGTAGCTATCTTACAGAGGGATGCCTAATCAAAAGAATTCTAGATTACAAATAAAATTCAACATATTCCGAGAAGATTAGTTCCCATTAACCATTTATTTATAAGAAAGACCAAAAGAATTATTAGGCAGTGTGATTATCATGCCCAAACTGCTCCGCCGATCCACCATCTTTAGCTCACTCAGTATTGTATGGCTGATTGGGCAGCACCCCATCCAATTTCTTTTTCCTTTTTCTCGAGGGTGTTTCCCATGGAAATTCCCAGATGACATGGACACTGCCATGGCACCAGCACCCTCAGTTTCTATAATTGTCCTTTATGTACTTTCACAAAATTATATCTGAGAGAGTTCGGGTGTACACTGCAAATCGGCCTTCATAAGAAAGAAAGGTATATCCCAAAATCCAGAGAAAGTGGAAACCACAAAGATGACCAAATGCAAACTTTATCCCACAAACACTCCTGGTTCCTTACCGTGAAAAATTAATTAAAATAAAAACCTGATATTTTGTTCATGCATACAACAATCGAGGCATCACTCACTTCCACAGTAAAACTAACAAAATTCGCATCCCATTAACAACTTGTGCCAAAGCTTAAAGGAATGGAGCAATTTCAACCTCCCATTTGCACATAATCAAGACTGACTATTACTTGTACCATTGAATAACATTTTTAGGCCCCCTACTTTGAATAATGTTACAAGGATTTACTATTCCAGAGCTATAATCCAGATCATAACTTAAACCATGTACGGTACTCTAGTCTTCAAAATCATGTGACATGGAAGCCAAGCATTTCTTCTTAACTATTGAAATGTATATAGATTGTCTGGTACCAGGAACCAATGTAATGTATATTGGTACCAGCACAAATGTACTGTATATTGGTACCAGGTACCAATGTACTGTGTATTGGTACCTGGTACCAAAACCAAAGAGTCTTCCACCACCATATCAAATTGGTACCAGTTACAAGGTACATTGTGGTTAACTTCAAATTGTGCTAATTATCTCCAAAACTGACAACATACTATTAGATTGTAAAATTAGAAAGCATTTCCATGGGAAGTGGAAATAAGGCTCCAAAATTATTATTTCATGAGCTTTGCAAGGACTTCCCAGTTTGAAATGTTTCTTACATTTTTGGTTAATTACTCAATTGGAAAGCCAAAACAAAGAACTCATGAAATTTCATTCTACAGGAAGTGACTAACCTCGATAAGTGAATTTTTTATTGCCCAACCAAGCCTTTATGATGAATTTTAGAACAAATCCCCATATTTCCAAGGTCCTCTGGATTGTCGAGTAAGTTTTAAATCTACTCCAACGGCCACCAGGAGCAACGGAGACCTGAAAAAACCAAAAGTACCATATTACTATGGCATACTTGTGCACATAATAAACCTCAAAATTCAAATGAAGCAACCTACAAAGTTATTAAATGAAGCCATTTCAATATTATACAGCCAACTCAAATGCACAATGCTATATAGAGTAGATTCTCCCCCCAGAATCCAGATACAAGACACTGTTCGCAATAAAGTACTAGAAGCATCTATTTGTCATTAAAGCATGAATAAGAACTCTAAAATGATCAATGATCCCCTTTTAAGGTTTGCATGAACAATTTTTCTTTCAGTTTCCATCTTCACTTGTTAAACATCTTTCATCCTTTCCTCATCCAATAAAATTTGGCCAGCTTCAGAGTTACCTATACCATTACTATTACTAAGAACAATCTGTAAACAACTGTTTCTTTAATAGATACAGCTTGAATGTTATACAAAAACAATTAAAGCTAGAATCAAAACCTTAAACACTACAAAATAAACCTCTATGTGAATTAGAATTCTAGTCCGATCCAAATGCAGATCAATAATTTTTCTGTCTGTGCATTCAATCCAATTAGGAATTCAACTGAAATCCAACATCTACCATCTACTTTCGAAATCAATGTTTTGTTACAAACTCTGCGGAAATGCTGACTCGGAGCATCCAACCCTAAACCAATTGAAATAGGCAGAGAGGCACGCCTTCAAACTATTACGTAAGCCTTTAATTCCCCGATGTGGGATTCACACTCTCAACATAACTTAGCACAAACACGCAGTTCCCATAAAGACAATCCAATCAATCAACATCATGGAATCATACCTCAACTTTTGGCAGCCCGCTTTGCTTAAACCACGCATCTTCCTTTCCAATTTCCTCAATATTCTTCCTCCTTCCTTCCTCCTTCGTCTCCAACACTTGAACTCCTTGCACCACTTCCGCTGCCACTCCATTGCCACTCACGAACTTCACCAAGCTCCCATTAACTGCCCCATTCTTACTTCGAATTACACCCGCACTGCCATTGGAGTAGCTGTTGACTGAGCCATTGGACCCGTAACCGCTACCGCTAGTACTAGCAGCAGCAGCTCCATTACCACCCAACTCGACACCATTGACTTTCTTGATCCTCTCTTCAACTACAACACCTTCCTCTTTAACCGCTCTGATTCGGGATCGAACACCAGACCTTGGGTATCCATTACGAGAGAATTTAGAGAGAGAAACTCCAGAAATAGAAAGGCGGCGTTTAGGAGTGGTTTGTGGTGAGAGAAACGTGAGTTCCGGCAGCGGTAGAGAACGAGCAGCCATTGAGGTGAAGGAATCGGGAATTTGATCAAAACCCTAATCTCCAATCTTCATGCCCGGGAGAGAGAGAAGCAGAAGAAGACAGACAGACAGACAGACGGAGAGTGTTTGGGAGTGAGGAAGGGAGATGCAACTGAGGAAAACGAAGAAGAAAAGGGAGGGAAAGGGGTGGAGGTGGGGAGGACACGTGGCAAGTAAGGCGGATGAGTGTTTTGAAGAAGGAGGCTTCTCATTGGCTGCGAGGCTCGCGCGCCACTCTCAGAGATTGCTTTGGCTGACGTGTCAGTCGGAGAATTTTGTGACTGCAAAGATAGACAGTGCTTGCTGTGCTCCACCCTTTCTATTCCTGTTGGAATTCCTCGTGTTTGAATTCCCTTCTCCATGATTTAAATGAATTAAATATGCACGTGCTCACCACTCGATTTTGAATTTCGTTCTCTGTAGTCTGTAATTTAGCCGAATTAAATGCGCACGTGCATATAAACATCACTTCAAGCTCAAGGTTGTTTTGTTTTTTGTTTTTTGGGTCGAAATCAAGCCGTTCTAGTTTGCAATTGAGTTGTTCAAGTTTGTAATTGAATTGTGCTTGAGTTTCAACCCACAAGGCAAAGGCTTAATTACATCGATTGGATGAATATGACTTATGATATTTATGTATGCAAGTAATTTACGTCCAGCTCATCCAACGACAATTAATATGATGGTAATGTTCTCCACCACTTAAGGATGGTGAGCCAAAAAACCTTTCAAATATATCCAGCACTTCTCTTCCGGAAAAACCCTAGAGACACAAACTCACATAAGCATTTTAACACCAAGTGATGTTGCGGTTGCTTACTGGTTGCAAATCAATCAAGTTCACGATTAGTTCTCAACAATTAAACGAGTCTAGATCTAGAAATGAGATCCATCTGTTTCAAATTAGCACATGGGTTAGGCTACTAATACAAATATCTCGCTTATCGATCTTACAAAACTAAATCTTTACTCCTAATCATGCAAATATGAGATTCCGATAACAAGAAGGAAACTGCCTGATTTGTATTATGGGCAAAGAAAGCAATCATCTGTGACGGAACTTGGGCCGTACCGTGATTACACCTGGACTCAACTCCTCAAAACGATACCTGCAATACAACATTTCATCATTTACACAACAAACTAAGCAATACCAATGGCAACTTGTTAGACCCATTCTCGTTAAGGAAACTTGTCACAGCTGATGGAAGTGCAGCCTGTCCTTGGCTATGATTACCCATACCTGCACTTATAAACACAGAAATCAGGGTTGCATCCTGTAACTATTACATAACATTATATTCTCTTTGAGACGTTTTTAAATGGTAGATTGAGGAACATTTATTTTAATCCCTTGAAGAGACATTTGAACTAGAGTTTATTTTTCAAATGCTAGTCTAGTTATTCTCTTCAGAGCTGCCGGGGGAAACCATTGCTTTCAATAAAGTCGACATTATACATATACTAAAACCCAACACAAAAAATACTGTTCATTAACAGTGTTCTTCCATTTCATCCCTGCTTCTTTTTTGTTATTTCAATTTTGCCCCTATTGTTTTGCTGTCAAATGAGTAACAGTTTTGTGATGCGTGGGATCCTCGACCGCTTTCTTCCTTCTTCCCCCCTCCATCCTCACCCCATCTGGCAAACCTTCATCCCTCTTCATCTCTTCTATCGCTCACCGCTTCACCACAGAAAAACTTAAACCACATCCCTATCAAGTTTCAATCACCGTTTTTAACTATTTCAAAAACATTCTCTCCGTTTAACTTTGCTTCAATTTTTTGTTGGTGATGGACAGAATTAGCAGTGCGGGGCTGGAACTAGCAAATGTGCTGGTGACTTCTCCTCCCCTGCACCAGTCATGGGACGCAATTCAGAAGCAAAAGCTCCAGACAGCTGCTGATCCGAATGCACAAATGGCCTTATACATTAGTGAAACCAAGCACTCAAACACCACCATCATATCTTTTCTTACTTCACCAGTCAAGGTTCAAGATCCACAAGCGATGATTTCATCGACGACTCTCAAGGGCACAAATTTTCTTCTCTTTGAGTTTTTGTGCAGCAAAAAAACACCAAGTTACTCCATCAATGAATTGGCAATCAAATTCTTCGCCTTGAATCACACCAACCTCGATCTTCTGCAAACAAAGGTGTGTACTGTTATCTCAAATAATGATTTCCAATTTTTGTCTATTCTTCTCCTACTGAATCAAACTTTTTCATTGCTTTGACGACTATTAATTTTAGTGAGAAACGGTTAGAAATGATATTTATAATGTTAGATTACTTTCTACTTAATTAGTTTGGCTTCTTTGACAACTCTTAATATTAGCGAGAAACACTTACAAACACCTCATTATTAGTGTTATAAGAGCCGAATGTCGTAAAATCGATTCTATTTTGTTTTTTTTGTTGTTCAAAATGGTGTTGAATGTTATTTGTTTTTACCACGAATGTATTTTGAGGAACTTATTTGTAAAAGACGTCTCCGAATTAATTATATAGCTAGCAGTTCAGTAACTGACCAACTTCATGCAATATTTCAGCTGGTAGAAAGCAGCAATTCCAACTCATCGATACTTATCACTGGACATTCTTTTGGAGGCTGTTTAGCTACCCTTTTCACCTTATGGCTGCTACAAAGCCTCAACTTGTCTTATCTATATCATTAACCACTGCAACCATAATATCCTCAAGCAAGATATCGTCGGCCCAAGTGTATTGTTTCCCACTAGAATGGCCATCTAATAAATAGAGTCTACTTGAGCTTGTGACTTGGACTCATTTTTAATTAAATAAAGCCTGAAGCATATTTAATTAAACATGTCCAATGGGCCCAAAATAATTAATCTAATATAATTAATAATTAAGTCCATCTAATCATTATCCTAGTTAACATTGCTAAAACTACCATAGGTGTGTGACATCTTAGGTTCTAACTAAAGTCAGTAGAGACATTGATTGATTAATTAATTAATTAAATTTCACAAGCAATGAGTGACATTTAGTAGCATTTCATGGCTAACTGAATTAGAAGAAGTATACGCGAAATAATCATGATACTCCTTCAAACCTTGATTGTAGTTACAACGTAACTCGGTTCTTCTACCATACATTTCCCAATCAAGATTTAAGTGCAATGGATTAATGTCAAATCACATATAGATATCTATGGTCACCATGATGCATCTTATGTTGAAGCAGTTCTTACAAACATAGCTTGATCAACAATTACTTTGGCAAGAGATTTTCGAGATGGCTCTCCAAGTGGTTTCAGTAGATGGCGATAAGATTCTTTATTCCGCATTCATGTATCTCCATAACAATACATAGGAACTCAAGTATCACACCCATGAATATACCGTATAATCCATTTCACGATTCATCAATGCCCTTTCCTGAATTATACATATTATCATTGTTTTTGTCATAATCATTGTTTTCTTGACAAAATCATCTACTCACAATGCTAACAACTTGTGAGATATCAGACCTAACACGCCGTAACATACATCAAGCCAACAACAACACTAGCATATGGAATTTGTAACATGTCCCGACTTTCTTCTTTTGTTCTAGGAGACACAGAAGCATTAAGTTTGAAATGAAAAACAGGAGGTGTACTAATCGGTTTTGTTTTGTCGTTCATCCCAAAACATGTAGTACCTTCTTCAAATAATGCATCTAAGACAGACTGATATTGTCATTCTTTCAATTTCTTTCAATCTCCATACCAATACCTTCTTTGCTTCTCACAAATCATTCATATCAAATTCATTACTCAACCAAGTCTTCGGTTTTTCAATCTCCACCTTGCTCTTACAAGTTATCAACATATCATCAACATATCATAGCAACTAAATGAAGGTACCATCTTGTAGCTTACGAAAATCGACATAATGGTCATAAGGACTTATTGTCTATTTCTACTGGAACTTCAATCAATCAAATCGCTTATATCATTGTCGTGGAGGCTATCTTAAATCATACAATGACTTCTGTAATTTGCAAACCTCCTTACCAGCAACTTAACTTTAAAACTTTATGGCTGAGAATGTAAGGCCATCTCCAACCGATGACTAGCTAAAGGGCTCGTTTTAGCCCTCTGACCCTCCAGGATATTAATATTTTAATGAACAGTACATGGCCATATTTGCCTCCTTCTCCAACCGATGGTCATAGGGCCAAATATAATTTATTATTTCAATTTAAAAACTACAACAACTTAAATTTAAAAACTACAACTTATATTTAAAAACTACAACTAAAATTTAAAAATGGCAAATTAAATTTAAAAACTACAAATTAAATTTGAAAACAATAGTAACTTAAATTTAAAAATTTTGTGAGGCATGGTGAATGAATAGTTTAGGTATTGATAGGAAAAAAAAAATAGAATTTTTTAGAATTAAAAAAAAAGGCCCAAAAAACCTAAAAAAATAAAAAAATTTGAATCCAACGGTAACTTGCGCCAACTAGTCGTTGGATTCAAAATTCTTTTTAAGAATTCTTGTCGGTTATAACCGACATGATTAATCGGTTTTCTGGCCAGCCCTTTCCGATTCTGTAGGGCCCTCTCAAATTCCACAGCCCTCTGGCCTAACCCTCGGTTGGAAACGGTTTTCGAGCTATTTTCAGCCCTTTGACCCTCTGGACCCTTCGGTTGGAGATGGCCTAAACTCTTCTTTCAAATCACCATGTAAGAACACCATCTTGACATCAAGTTGTGAAATCAAGGTCATACTCCACAACCAAAGCTAGCAAAATACGAATAGAAAAAATGCTTTACAACAGGATAAAATACCTCATTGTAGTCAATGCCTTCTTTCTAAGCATAGCCCTTAGCTACCAATCTGCTTTGACTCTTGTTGATGCAAATTTCCTCCATCTCTAGCTTTGACTAAAATGCACCTGCAAAACAATCAACACCTTTGATAATAAAAAAAAAAAAAACCTAAGCTTCACGCGCCCACGAGTTGGGGGGGTTAGGCCAATGGATCTCTGATGCCTAAGTTAGTTTCTCTGAAAAAGAGTAAGTGTTTAGGGCTTTTAGAGGTAGCAAAATCTTACTGAAATTTGGTAGAATTGGGGATATATATCGAGAGGAGAGGGCTGGCCATGGTGTTAGGGTTTTGCCCTACACATGGCGGCATCCTATTGGCCAAGGTTTATGGAGAAATATTCTCAAGATATTAGATAGGAAATAATATCTTGAGATAATGAAGTAAATATCCCTAATTGATTTAAATAGGGATTACTTACTTGAATGGAGTCAATATTCAATTGGGAATGTATTAAAGATAGGATTTGGGTAATTAATCCTTATCTTTAATGTTTTGACTTTTCCTTGCCAAGAGCATGTGAGCTATTAGCAGTCATATTCAGCTGGATGGACCTTTAAAGGTGTGAGTTGCGCGTGAGAGTATTTGAGGAGCTTGCCCAATTAATGATGGCAACCTTGTCTTTCTTGAGCAAAAATCAACGTGTCACCTCTTGAATTTTTGGGATTATTTTAGTTTCCACAAATGCCGCCACACCTGCTGGGCTGTACGTAGGAAAATGGCAGTAAGTGTAGAAATCCCAAGCTACATGAGCTTGTAGAGTTGTGTCCCAATTTGAATAAGATCTCCTTCCTGGATTTGGAGATAGACTTCTTATAGGAAAAGGAAGCCAATTGCCCCCAATACCTATTTAATTTTTCCTTAAGCAAGGGATTAAATAAATTTGAAGAACAATCATCATTCCAACAAGGAAGAGAGAAGCCAGAGGAAATTTGTTCCCCCTTCCCTAACTTTCTTCTTCTCTTGCCTTTGCAAAGAGTCATCTGTCATCGTTTTTTTCCTTTCTCCTTTGTGCTGCACCAAGGTAAGAAAAATTTGAACTTTCTTCTTCTTAATTCTTGAGAGCCTTGGGGCTTGAAAAATTAGCTCGCATAGGGCCGAGGACATGTGAAACACATGGCAAGGGTGCCACGGGGCTGCTGGATGTGTAGAGGGTGCAGTGGCGGAGCTCGGCTGGCGTTGACTAGAACTTGGCTTAGCTGGGTCGAGGTGCAGGCGCATTGGGGAGCGGAGCTGGGCGAGCCATGAGGCTCTAACCCTTTTGGGTTCGAGCTTGGCACATGCCAAGCATGAAGGAGCAGGCTTGAGCTTGATGTGGAGGGCTGAAGAGAGAAAGAAACTGGCATAGGGCGCTTGCTTGCAGGTTGGGCCAAGAGGCCTTGGGCCCTGTTGGGCCTGTTGGACACGCTGGGCACGAGAAAGAGATGGCAGGGGTCCGGACCGTGAGGCCTAGTGCATAGCTAGGTTCCTACTGTTTAGGCATGCGTTAGAAGAGAGAAAGTATGAGGGTTGGGCCTTTATGGCCTAGCCAAGCTGGCGAGCTGGGTCGTAGGGCCTGGTGCTGGGACGCTGGGCTCTGTGGTCCCCCCTTTATATATATATATATTTTATTTTTCTTGTCGTGAGCTACCTTCTAAATATTTTTCTTCGTACTTTTTTGCATAAATTTTGAGATGTCTTCCTCTTATGGAAAAAGTGACGAATATCTTCCACCTTTGTATTGTCAAGGTGGGCTATTTCAAGGTTGCACATGTCAAGATCAATTTCAATGAGCTGTTTCGGGATTTTCTTGAGACGTACAAGCATGCAATTCCGTCAGGGGTTCATTTCAAGCGGGTGAAGGATGATAGCGGCGAGGGTGCCATTGATAGGAAAATGGACATCAAATTCCATCTGTATTAGTTCGTGTTGGGATTTACTTTTCCCATGCCGCGTCTTTTTCAGGAGGTGATCTGCTCCATGAAATGCGCGTCTGCTCAGTGCTCCTCAAATGCAGTTCTTGCGATGGTGGGATTTTCAAACTTGAGTAGGTTCTTTGATCTTGGCTTGACCATCAATGAGTTATGGTACTACTTTGAAACTGGCCACAAGGAAGGCATGGGGCAGCTGTGGTCTAACCATAGGTTGCTTGTTGCTTCCTGCAAAGGTGATTATGAGTGGGCGAGAGATACCTTAGAGGTAAGTGGAGAGTAGGAGTTCGACTCCTCACCCAAGCTGCGTGTTCCGACTTTATCTATCAGCGGTAAGTGAACTACTTCATTCTTAGCCTGCTTGAATTTTTTTAGCTGCTCCATGACTTCAATTTATTGATTGTCCTTCTTACTTTATGTAGATTCGGATTTTGGCTCAACTCCAAGAGGTGGATATGAAGAAGGTGCACATTGCCTTGGGCATTTCTGCTAAGTACCGTGAGTGGCGTTGGCTGCTTAGTCCTCTCCGTCAGAAGAAAGGTGGGCTGCCTCCGAAGGAAAAGATTAAGCTTTGACTTTTCCTTGTCAAGGGCAGGTAAGCTGTGGGCAGTCGTATTCCACTGCATGGACCTTCAGAGGTGTGAGCTGCGCGTGAGAGTATCTGATGAGCCTGCTCATTTAATTAGGGCAATCTTGTCTTTCTTGAGGGCAATCTTGTCTTTCTTGAGCAAAATGTCCACGTGTCGCCTTTCGAATTTTTGGAATTATTTTAGGGTCAACAAATCTTACATTGCCTTTTCCCAAAGATTTCAACTTCTTAGCATAAACCCATTTGCACCCAATTGCTTTCTCTTCTTTTCCAAGTTTCATTCTTATGAAATTATCCATCTCCTCATCCACAGACACATTCCAATCTCCAAA